TTTCATAAAAATCATAACACAAGGCAAATTCCTAATACAATGCATCATCATAAAGAGACAAATTCACATGCCATTTTCATTGTGTTTCTACTTCGATGACTTTCACAATAGTCAACTCGCATCTTTGAAGCTATTTGATTTCTACGATCCTTCCATACGTTTTTTGATTGTGTTCCCTTGCAGTTGGGTTAAGAGAAATCAACAAGATTGTTCTCATCTTCATTGGCAACATCACCTTTATCCTCTTTAATGCCAACGGTCTTATTGAATATTTCATCATTTGGGTCGATGATTGCAATGTAATTATGAAGAACCGTGCATGCTAATATGATATCAACTTGTGCGAGAAATGGGTAATAGGGCTTAGCGGTGAGAATCTTGAAACAATTCTTCAAACAACTAAATGTAGATTCAATCTTAGACCTTAATGTAGAATGTCTAAGATTGAATAATTTCCTTCTATTTTACGATGTTCTTCCTATTTGTACCTTCAAATGATAACGGACATCACGATATGGGAAGATGAAACCCGACATGGTCGTGTATTCCACATCACACAAATAATATTTTCCTACAATTTACATGATGTAAATGTGTATATTAGAATTTTTATAACATTGACTTGTATATCATTTATTAATTGAAGTAAATATTTAGAATCAGAGATTTAATGAAATTATCATTATATACTCTCAAGCCATGAGGCTGCGGTCTAGATAATGCATTTTGAATGACTCTATAGTCGTTTGCAGAACCTTCTCACCCTGCTATTACGTAAGTGAATAACTTGTTTGGAGTACAGGCTGTTAAAATATTTGGTGACTACTTTGTGACCATTGAATTATGCAACAAGATTGGTGGGTGACATAGCATCAACATGCGTACCATCTATCACACCAATGCAATCCCAGATAGTATAAAAATTTACTAACAACTATATTTATTTAATTAAATAACATGCTTTTTATCACAAAGTATAGAGTAAATACCTTGAAATAAGGGTAATATTAGGGGTTGTTAAGGATCTCTTGTAGAACTTCACTGCGTGCTTGTTTTAAGAACCTTGGACGTATGTGGCAAATTGCTTCTAACACTTTCTTGAAATATCTACTTACATTCTCCTCAGATCTAATAAATGTGACCTAATAATTTGATTTTTAGTTTTATGATATTCAAAGTCATAGCAAGTTGTTTCTTCAATGTAACATGTCTTGAGTCTCGTAATAAATCATTCCTCATGATTTAAGCTTCATAAAGCCACCACTAAACATTCTAACATAGTTGACGCAACTATCACTAAAACCATTATATATTCGGTTCATGTGATCCTTTCTATTTTCATATTGCTTTAGTTTCTCTTTAGTAGGTCCCATACGTATGGACCCACGTCGACATTGCATTCTCCTCATGAATGTCATGATCATAACTAAAACATATAGTGCATCCCCCAAGCACATGTTCGTTACAGTCTCTTTGTCAAGATCATCATTCATCTACAATACTTGGATTGTATTGAAGTAGATACTAACATTATTTTAAAGTATGGACTATAGGAATATTTTCACTAAACGGAAGTTTAAACTAATAAGACCAATTTATATATACACATATGTAACAATAGCTCATAAATAGTCATACTTGATGCTATTAAAATATATATAATCCAGCTTAGAATTATTACCTAACTTCACATAAAAATATGGATATAACTTCACACAAAAATTGACAGAAACTCTAATATGATCATAAATTGACAGAAACTCTTAATTGTTATAGAATTACCCTAACCACGGTCTTTATGAGCAAAAATTATGGATCGACCTAAATGGATTCAAGTATATTCTAAATTTCAAAGAGGTAGTTGCATCTAACTTCACACAAAAATTGACATCGTTGCATTTAACTTCACACAAACAAGACACCTCAATCAAAATTCAAGCTTTACCATCCAGTTCTGAAAAAATTCCACCTTTATATTAAACTATGGCAAAAAAGAACAAAAAAAGAAAAAACCTAAGCATATATATAACTAGACCACAATCATCTTTAAAAAAATCATCAAATTTGTTGTAATTTACTACATGTGGTGAACAATGAAATTGACCATCATTAAAAAATTTCAATTTCACAAATAAATAAGAAATGGAAATAAGGGCTTAGAAATTACATTTGATCAATAAGGAGTTAAGAAAGATAAAGTTGAATTTGAACAAGATTGATTCTTTGAAGTATCTGTTTAATCTAGGGTTTCGTCAAATCTAAGATGCAAAGCATCAATTTTAAGCTAGATTAAACACCCAAGCCATTCGATTTGAAGCACCTTCGATCACATCAACACCAACAGAAGATTAATCTTTTTCCCCAATTTGTGAATCAGGATTAACCATCGACTTGATTGATCACCCAAATTTTGATATTTGAGGTGCTGATGAACACATCTTGCCTAAAATATTTCTAGGAATTTTTACTTATGAGAGAGATGGAGAGAGCAATGGAGGCGGGAGAAGTTGGAGGGAAGGGTGAAATGAGAGGGATATAAGTGGCGTTTGTAATCCTAGGTGATATGGATCGAGTGGGTAGTGGGTACGAGAAACTATAAAATGACAGAGCTAATTATTTAATCGGTGTTTTAATGGGTTTTCGGCATTTTTGTGTGGGAACATAATTTCCTTAAAAGTGACATGGCTCTAGCTTTCCTCCACTCTTTCGTTTTCTTTTTTTGGTAATCCAAACATCAGAAAAATAAAGAAAATTTGACAAATTTTGGTGATTATCTTCTTTATCAGGTTTCTTTTTGGACTTTCCTTCAGATTTTAACCAAGCAAACAGGCCCTACGAATAAAAACTGTATTAGTAAAATTGTTCTCAAACTAGTGTAGCATAATCGTATTTTGTAGAAAGAAAAAATATTGGTGGGAGGAGAGGAGAGAATATTACCGTGTCTTTTTGGGGGGTGGGTGGGAGGAGGGGGGATGGAGGTTGGTATTGGTAGATAGGGAGAGTTACACTTGGATGCTATATTACCTGGGTACTTCTAATTTGAAGTCGTACCCATACCGAACACGTGTCTATACCCGTATCTATACTCCTTGGACACGCCTTGCATACATGCATACATTTATTCGGGCCTATTCTCAATTTTACAATACATGTTTTAATTTAAAAAGCAATCATACACTTTTGGACATGTATCCAACAATTCACATTCACTTCTTGAAAGTTGTTGGACGTAGGTCAGCTTTCGAATTATGATTTTGAAGGGTCTCTTGGATGTCTAGTTAAAAAATTAGTGACTTTCCAATTTATAATCAACATAATAAAAGAAATATAAAATGTTATAGGAAATTTAATTATCATCCTTGTTCCCATGAAAACTATTAACTCCAATATATAATATATGTGTATATAAATAATTATATAGTTGTGTCCCTGAACCCCACCTTTTACAAATTTGCAATGTCCTGTATCCATACCCGTACTCATGCAACATAACTTAGATGAAATACTAACACTCTCAAGTTCAACCATTGGATACTTTTGCTGTGATAAAGTATGGAGGAGTTATTTGTTGTCTTTCAGAGGCTTATGCGAAATAATAAATTTCATCTAATAATTAAGGTTATATTAGGATATTTTGAAAATATAGTTTTGTGATGAACAGTTGATGAAACAGGGTTAAGATGCTTTATTGTTGCTGGTATAATTGACCTTGAAGAAGGGGGAATTAAGTTGTTTAGACCAAGCACTCTCCTTTCAGAACGTCAATTTCTATCCTATTTCTATGACAGTGGCGGAGCCATATTAACTTCAGGTTGGGCAAGTGTCTAAACCTGGATTTGAAGATACCATGCTTTATCAGGCATATAAGTATTTATTAAACAACATTATGTTCATGTATATCCCTATATAATCTTTTATTTTGATTCGTACCCCCAATCAATAACTTCATTTCTAAACTTATGTAGACTTTAGTAGCAGAGTTCACGGTTCATGCATTCACTTCTAATGCACCTACACTGATGATACACACTTCTAATTCGGGTATAAATTTTTTGGCTTATATACATAGAAATAAATATTTTGTGGAATGAAATAATTCATTTTACCTCTTATTTTACTTTTTAAATAGAAAAAAGAGAAAAATATTCAAAATTTGTTTTTTCTTTTGTCTTACTCCAAAAGAAATTTACATTTGGGTCTAGTGAATAAATGGATAGAGCCTTACGGCTCCAATTCTAGTAAAAAATAAAAAAAGGCAACGAGCTTCTATTCTGAATTTGAATAATTACTCGATCTAATTAGACGTTAAAAAAATTAGTGCCTGATGCGGGGAAGGGTTCTCCTGTGAGTGGTCCCTTGATTCTTTTTTTTTTCTTAAAAAAAATCCTAACTATTCTCTTTTATGGATTGGAAATGAATGTGTAGAAGAAACATTATACTGACAAAAAGAATCTGTTCCAAAGTCAAAAGAGCGATAGGGTTGCAAAAATAAAAGATTTTTGAACCTCTAGTAATTATAAAATAAAGAAGATAAATCTAGGGGAAAAGAAAATGATCTGTTGATTGGACTTCCTGTTTCCGGGGTATATACCTACATACCCTGTTCTGACCATATTGCACTATGTATAAAAATCCTGTTAGAATGTTTTAGTTCCTAAGCTGGATTAAAATCCTACCTCCACTACTGTCTATGGACAACTATTCATATTATGTTTTTCTTTTGGATGTACTTGGTTCATGTGATCTGTATAACAGAGCAGAATCAGTATGACATCTTTTGAGAACTAAGATATCCTTTCAGGAGAGTTCTACCCTGCTGTCTATGACAGTTAATGGAAATTTATTCCAGTTGTATGCCTACTCTTTTCTCGATCAATTCTACTTATATTTTTCTGTTATATGTGTCTTATGCCATCTTGGAGCTGAAGACAGTTTGAACATATTTATATGCTTTTTTCCTTTTGAGGGAATTTAACATCTATACTTGTAATCTTGCTCAGATGATGAGTGATTCAACCAATGTGCTTTCTCCTGGAAGATCTATCAGCGAGGCTGTTGTAAGAGATTCATTAATACGGCGTATTTCAGAAGCAAAAGGAAGAGTTATCACTACACAGTTTGCTTCTAATATACATCGACTTGGAAGTGTCAAAGCTGCTGCCGATTTAACTGGTCGTAAACTGGTAAGATGCTTTAACCACCTTGTTTCATTCATCAATATTGTGCTCCGTAATCAACAAAAGGTGTATGGTCCTTGTTTCACCAAATTTCTTTTTGCAATAGTCTATTGATTTTGAGTAATGTAACAGGTATTTGTTGGCATGTCATTAAGAACTTATCTTGATGCTGCTTTCAAGGATGGAAAAGCGCCAATAGATCCTTCAACATTGGTATGTGGTAGGCTCTTAGATGCATTGTCTCTTTTTATAATATAAGGTTTTTCTGCAGTAGGGAGTTCTTGGTGTGTTAAACTAAAAATGTGTACAGGATCTTGCTTGCTTGGAAGTCGTGAGACAGTTTCTTTGCATATTTTTGAGTTTGATAGTTTTCTATTTTGGTTGCCTTTTTAAGATTGCATATCAAGAAAGAGTATATATTGATTTCTGAAAGGAGACGTTTTTATGGGGAAGGAGAATATAATAATGAGGAATACAGAATATTGAATAGTTAAAAAACCTGTTCCCTACTATCCTAATATCTGTTCGAACCAAATAAGCGATTAGGCATTGCCTTGCATTCCATGCTAAGAGACTATGGTACCATTTGTGCCTTCTTGGCAGGGATTTATGTGAACATGTTATGTGACTAGAAGGTGAATCATTAGCTTGCACCTAAGTTTATGACTTTCTGACCACTGAATTAGCTTTCAGACCTATAGTAACCTAAAAAACATTTGTATATGCAAAATAGTCTGTTTATTCACTCTAGGTCTTGTCTATTAACTTCATTCTGACAAGTGTGATTAATAATTAAGTCCGAGTAGGAGCTGAAGCTATTTGCTCTTTTTAGGGATAAAATCTAGTTCCTTAGTGTCTGATTTATAAATGTATATTGATTTTTTATATGTTGCATACGACGCATGAAAATATGTAGGTTATTGCTCAGTCAGCTCAGCATAAGCTGTCCATACACCTTCCATCGTCATGTCTAATTATGCTGAATTTCTCATTTGTCTGCATAGCTTTATTGTTTTACTTTGAGTTATTAATTGATATTGAAGACATTATCTCTTGATATGACCTGTAGTAAGGTCAGAGAGTTTCACAGTAAGTAAATAAATGGAGATATTAAATTTAGATGAATCTTAATATGTTATGGCCCTTTTGCTTCTATTATGCATCTGAGTACCACATTTTCAGTTAATCTAGTTCATGTATCATCAAGGGTATATTTTATATGAATCAGGGTATATTTTATATGAATCTTTTTATTTAATCAATGTGTGTACGCTTGCACTAAAGCCTACATGTTTGTGTGTGTCTACTATTTTTTGTGTAATCATACAAACTCATGATTTCTGCATATTTGTGAAGGTGAAAGTGGAGGATATTGATGCTTATGCTCCAAAAGATTTGTTAATTGTAACAACTGGCTCTCAAGTAAGATAATTTACAGTGCATCACAAGATAATTCAATCGTACTGCTTGCAAGGTTTAGCTACCTTTTGACTGTTTACAATGTTGTGTGTCAGGCAGAACCGCGAGCTGCTCTAAATCTTGCATCGTTTGGTAGTAGCCATTCTCTCAAGCTGAACAAAGAAGACCTGATTTTGTATTCTGCTAAGGTATGTCTATATTTATGCCTTTATGGTACAACCAAGATGGCATAACATACTTTTTATTTTCCTTGGAGAATATATGAGCTTCAGTACTGTTTGGTGTTTATATACCTCAAATGGTTGTTGGAATGTCAATTTATATGTGTGAAGCTTATTTGTCTACTTTATACTCATGTGCTTTACAGTATATGAAATGCTTAATTCCTCAGCTGTGCTGCTGATTTCTCAGCGAGTTTTTGACTTGTAAATTACCTTTTAGTTGTTCTGAAACTTGTCAGTACTCATTATTGGTAATTCATAGAATGTAACTGCTATCTTGTCTCACACCTTTTTTTGTCAGTTCTGTCTCTACCTCTTTGGTCATGTCGGTAAAAAGATTTGGGAGAAGACACTAAATGTAAAGTATTTAAATGTCTGAGTCGCATTATATCTGCATAGTTCAAGACAACAAAAAGGGTACTTATATGTCTAATTCACATTAATATTGTGATAATTTTAAACTGGACTGGTTGTTACACAAAGAGTGAGCGATTGGGTTACAATCATAAAAGTTGATGTGCTATTTGATTCAAGTAGCGACATCTCTTATCATACTCATGTATTCAGGCATTATCTGTTTGCTTTTCCTTTTTTGTTTTTTTGGAGTCTTTTATTTACCTCTGTTTATGGATCATCATGTTTGCATCACTATGGTAATGTTTTTGTGTTGAAATAGGATATACATTTGTTCCTTAATCTATATTTTGTATATTCAGTCTAACCATGTCTGTGACTAACTGAATTTGGATGGATGGTGAGTTGGAAACCTTGGTAGTGTAGCCTTCGAAGTCTTCCCCATTCACGCGTGTATAATCTTGTTATTCAGCATGACAGCATCCACGGCTTTTCTTATCATCTATCCTATAAATCTGTTACAAATTCATGAATTTTGCCATGGGTTTTTATTTCATTTCAATGGTAATAATAATTATCCCGTTATTTGTTCCTCCTTGATCATATCCAACTCCAAATTCCTCAAGTTAAAGAAATCTTAGTAAAATAGGAGGCTTTTATGTCATGCAGATTATTATATTTCACTTATATAGTACTGATGGTTGAGTGTAGTTGCAATACCCTATATGTCATAATAAAGATGTACTACACAATATTCATGCAAATGTCTTTAACTATAAAATATCTAAGCGGAACGGAATAAAAGTAGCAAGCACTTAGTTTTAAGTAAAGTTTGAAATTATTTGAAAAAAAGGCAAGCAAGAGCAGAAAGAAGCAACATGAAAAATAGGAAGCAGCAGTTAGCAAAATAAATGCCCTGGTTTGGGAGAAATCTTAGAGAAAAAATGGTAGGATAACTTCTATCTTGCTGCTTTTTGTTGGTTAGGTCTTGTCATTTTCGAATAGGTTTGTCCTCGTCTTTTTTTTGCTTCGCTTAAGGCTTGCATCTTTTTTGTGGCTTCAATTTGAGCTCCTCATCCTCATCATGCGCTTGAACTTGCAATTTGGAATTAAATTTTCTGATAAGATGAAAGGTTGAAGGTAAAGAGGAAAGGATGAGGTGGAGATGGAGAAAATAAGGTTTCGGTCAATGTAGCAGTTAAAAAGGTTGAGTTAAGGGTTTTAAAATGCATTACCCACCTAAACCTAATTCACACAATGACTATTATGTTTGTCAATATTTGGGGTCAAAATGATGTGATAGATTTTTGAAACATTTTAGTATAGGGAGTGGAAATTATTATATTATTGATAATTGAATCAGTAGTCAGGCTCAGAAATCAGATGTGGCCTTGGTATCCCGATCTGTACTGTAAATCTTCATTTTGTTTTCACATGTTATCTGGAAGATAAATTCACAAGGAGGAAATGCGCAGCATGAGACATACCGTAACATAACTGGTTTCAACTTGTATTGGCCTAGTAATTCTGTACTCAAGTTGACTTGCTTGGTGGACTCCATCATTTAGTCATTTTCTAGTTTGAGGGACATTATTAGCATTAGTTTGGGTCAAGTATAGTTGGTCCTGGACTAGATCCTTGCGTTTTTATTTTATTTTCATTTTTTCATTGGTATGCATACTTAGTAAAAAATAAAGGAATATTTGTTTGTGAAAATCCGTGAATTTGGTTCAACTCTGAATCAAATTTGATGGTAATTGTAGAGAAATAGAAAAAGGCAAAATTAGTATTCATTTAACCCTAACTTCTCTTAAATAGAGATTAGGAGGACATTACAAGATAAGTATGAGATAAAATCATATCAAATCACATCTCACAATATCTCAACTCTATCTCATAATATCTTTAAATCTAAATACCAATAATATCTAACACTCCCTCTCAAGCTAAAGCGTATATTACTATATATGTCCAGCTTGTTACAAATCGAAATAAAATAGCTTAGTTGCAAGAGCTTTGACAATATCATCTTTGTTCGGAACACTTGAAGACGTCATCAATGAAAAAAGTATTGTCACAACTAATAGAAACCTTAGACGGCGGGCAAAGCCACTAGAAACTCTAAGCAGGTCACCCAATAGAGAAACTCTAGGAGGATCAACCGGTAGAGAAACCCTAGGCAGTCAGCCAGTAAAAACCCTAGGTGGGTAGCTAGTAGAGACAACTGAAAGAGGACCAGTATCATTGCCGATAATCGACAAAGATAATAGCACACAAACAATATGTTTGTTACTGTTCATCACGGTGAACTGTAACCGAGGCTACTATTCATCTCATGAACAACAACCTTGATAAACAGTAGATGATGCCTTTTTTAAGGATTTTTTGTGGAGAATTATCTATGAAGATTTAGAAAATTGTGATGCTGAAGATGAAGTTGTGATCAATGCCAAAGAGTCGTTAAAGCCGCCAAAGATTTCGTCGGAGTTGCCGAGGGGAGCATGAAGGACATGCAAAACCCGTCGAGATCTAGAAAGATGAGAGAAGTTGCTATGATTGAGTAGGCTCTGATATCATGTAGAAAATAAAAAAATGCAAAGTTATTATTCATCTAACCCTAACCTTTCTTAAATAGAGATTAGGAGGATATTACAAAATAGGCATGACATAAAATCATATCCAGTCACATCTCACTATTTCAACCCTATCTCATAATATCTCATAAATCTAAATACGAATAATATCTAACAGTAATATGTGGCATAGATGTATGCAGAAATGTTTTGATTTTAAACACTAGAACTTATTAGATTGTAAACTTTGCAATATTTTAAATTAAAACAAATCAAAGTTGATTTTAAAAAACTAAGTGTAGCGGTTTACCTGATCAAATAAAACTATTATTATTGTTGCCAAGGCTATAGTTTGACTAATATATTTTCCAAGTTAGAAGTAGAAAATTGTGGAAGTAAAATAAATTTTTGATGGAGTCATACTAGTAGGTTATATGTTGCACCTAAGGAGGTCACTAAATTTTTGAAAGGAGATGTAATTAGGCATCGATTTATATAATGCACACAACATTCGTAGTCTCTGCTTATCTCAATAAAATTACAAAAGTAAAACAGGTTGTGTCAGACCTATGTAATCTATTTTATTATTCTGCTTCACAAGACTAAAAAGGCTTGATTCGTTTATGTTCTGTGTTTTCCTCTGATCTTTTTACTTAAAATCATATTTTACTATTTCTTGCATACCGAACCATCCTAGTACTCTAAAAATTGACATTCTAGATAATGGAATTATGGAAGTCAGAACAATGATATTATAAGGAAATTCTTTGTTAAAGAAAGATATTATGAGTCACGACGAGAGATTGCTATTTGTACTAAGATTAGATTGAGAAGTAGGTTGGGATACTCTTTGAACCTCTTTCTAGAAGTTTCTACAAAAAAAGGGAAGGCTTGAAGGGATATATAAGATAATTGTTGTGAGAGTAGCAGTAAAGAAAAAAAAAATCAAATAACAAACAAGTGCCCTCATTGCTTCTGTGAGTGGGCATGCATGTGTTCATTAACTGACGCATGCATGTCTCTAGTTAGACTCGCCTCCTTCCTAAGATTTGGAAAGTAAATCTAAAATCAGATGGTTGGTTCATCTTGATCTACACCATTAGGATGCCTACAATTTTAAAAATTGATTGATTGTGGGTGTTATCATCTAACAGACGGATACTTGAAGGATGTTTGGAAACAATAAAATTTGTCACAACCATTTCTGAGTGTTAGATCATGTCCAACGGTCTGGGTTCTAACTACAGTTTTACTCAACGTGCTTCTTCAGCCATTCATTATGAGGCGACTTGATATGTAGGTAATACAAGTGAAAAAATTTCAAAAATAATTTCCTAGATGCTGTAATCAAGTTGCTGCATAGGGTTGCAGTTTGTATGGTCCATCGTTTATTACGTACAAGCAGGAATTGCTTATATGCAAAGTCTGTGTTATATGTGTTTGTGCACGCCTTGAGCTCATAGTATTTCAGTTCTAAGTTTATAGTGACAGTTCAAGAGTGGTTCATGAATTAATCAAATTAGCTTTTCAATGATCTGCAGCTTACTTTATAAGAAAATGTATAGCATTGAATATTAGCTCATAAGTTTGTTTTCCGCTTTCTCACTTCTGTTTGAATTTCTTCCTAATTTATAATGCAATCCATGTATCCTATAGGTCATACTCTTCATTATGAAATTTGGCTCCATCATATGCTCGTCTTCATTTGTGATCTTAACTATAGGTGATTCCTGGAAATGAGACTCGTGTAATGAAGATGCTAAACCGCATATCTGACATTGGTTCAACAATCGTAATGGGCAAAAATGAGGGCCTTCATACTTCTGGACATGCGTATCATGGAGAATTGGTGAGTTTTGCTTCTATCATTAGTAAGTTGTAAGCTATACATTCTGTTTGTCTAGCCTATGACGTGATCAATTTCTACCATTAGTAAGTTGTAAGCAATTTGCCTATTGGCATGTCATTCTTAACTTCTGTTTTGTGAAAGTTCAGAATTTATTCGCTCTTCATCATGCAGGAGGAAGTTCTGAGACTTGTGAAGCCTCAACATTTTCTTCCAATTCATGGAGAGCTTTTGTTCCTCAAAGAACATGAATTGCTTGGAAAATCCACTGGCATCCGACACACCACTGTAAGTCTTTACTATTAATGCTTATGCTCCTAAGTTATATATCAGAAGAGCAGATTCTGGATTAGTATGTTTTTACTGTCAATAGATGCAAGATCAAATGGATATTATTTTTAAAATCCTCAGGTTTATACTCCTTTTGTGCCTCATTTTTCAAATTCTGGCAAAATATTGTTGTTTTATGTGTGGAACCCAAAGGCAATATGCAAATAACAACCCTTCTGTTCTGAATTTTTGTTCAAGTTACTAAGCAGAACATCTTTAATGTTATTCAGCTGAAATTTGGATCGTAGCAGTTATCAAATCATGTTGACTTTAAGCAGGTTCATATGGTTACTTTTGTTGGTTCTTTGAATACTTTGACTCTTCTGGTTCATTTATATACGGAATTTCCTTGATCCATATTTTTTTAGAATCATCCATACAGGTTCTCTTTGTATTGTTTCCTAATCTCCGATCTTTCCACTTTTTGTTGGTCATCTCATTATTTCTTGCATATGACATAACCAGCATGCCATCTTGTGGAGTTGGTGCAAATTTTAAGTTTCAAGGTGTTTCCATTCTTAGAAATTGCCTTCCCTATCTCAGTAATCTCATGTATGCAAAGGGAAAACTAATTTGCAATCTGATGGTTGGAAAAGAGAACTTCTAAAATATCTTGACTCTCAAGCATTAACAGGTTTGGAAGTATAGTTGCCTTGTAGAATTAACTTTTGGCTTGATAAATATTAAGATGTACTATACATGTATTCATTTTGGATGGACAATAGCTAACGCTGGAAATATATTATTTAGATGGCTATAGAGTATAGACTTATTAGAAGCAAGGTTTTAAATATCAGATATCGGGGGAATATCGGATGACCAAAATTCATCTCGGCTTGCGGATATCGGGGATATATTAACGATATGTGGTAAATATCGAAATGTCATAACGAATTTTTGCATATATAGTATAATGCACTAAAATGACATCTTAACATACTTACGAAAATCTAAGCATACAAAATGTAAATAATATATGTTTAGAATCACTAATTAACCTTGTAAAACTAACAAAAGTGCAAATCAACGTTGCAGTATATCGTCTGATTTTTTTAGGCCAAAATGTCATTTGTTATAATGGCAAACTCATGATTTTTCATCCAAAAATTGCCAAACGATGTATATTGTTTTGCGACAAACCATATAAAAGGATATATCAGGCCAAGATATTAGCTGATATATCAGCCACATTGGGGATATATAGCCCAAAATACCAAAAAAGTGGTAAAGGATATTTAGAGACCATATCGGTTGCGGCAAGCCCTGTAAAAGGATATATCGGGCCATGTTGGGGATATTAAAACAGTGATTAGAAGAGAAGCAATGCCCAGGCTTTCACAAGTACTTTGAATAAAGCTAAATAAGATCTGATAGGAAATTATAAAAGGAAAAGTAGACAGTACTTCCAGCTCTATTTATACTCAAGGATGACCCTTCAAAAGTACCATAAAACACATTTCATATTTTCTGTGACCCACAAATTTAATCATAGTTAAAATGAGGTAGCTTCATTGTAAAAGGATGTGATTCTTATTTTCTATTTGAATTTTGAGATGTTGAGTATATCCCTCAACTAGCTGGTTGGATTTATTGAATTGAGGCATGTTCCTAGTATAGAAAATAAGCATGAAAGAAGTTTTAAACACTGGAAACAACAGCCCAAAACTCACTGCCTTTGAAAAGGTAAAAGGATCTCATATGCTGGGTACTCCTGTTTTTGACAGGTGATAAAGAATGGAGAGATGCTTGGTGTTTCACATCTTAGAAACAGAAGAGTTTTGTCAAATGGATTTGCTTCACTAGGAAAGGAGGAACTTCAGGTCAGTGACCTGAAATACTCATATCTTCCATTTCTTTTGATATTTTTGGTTCGAGAAACTAATACATGTTTATCTGCTGCAGTTGATGTATAATGATGGTGATAAAGCGTTTGGAACATCAGCAGAGCTTTGTGTTGACGAGAGATTAAGGATTGCAAATGATGGTATTATAGTTGTGTGGTAATGGCTCAAATCTCTAGTGTGTTTCAATAATTAATATCATCCTATTCAGATCATGCTTATCCATGTTAGGCCTATCCTTGGAAATTATCCCTGTAAACCTGCAGGCCATATCCAGGTTTCCACATTAGGTTACCATGTGATATCAATGGCAAGTAGACTTTTTCTTGCATGCAAATGCACATGACAAGAAAATGAAAATATAAAATTTTGGACTTCCAATGCAATTTTGATTTGTGAAAGTGTGTTTATCAAGAAGATGATAGGTTCCATCTTCTGTTTGTTATTTATTAGCTTTTATGACTTGCCCTCACCAAATACTTTATTAACAGATTTTCTCCATTACCATTTCCACTTAAGTGTCTTATTAAATATTTTTGTACGTGTATTGCACGTTGATGGATGGCATTTTGTTTGTTATTTATTAGCTTTTATGACTTGCCCTCACCAAATAATTTATTAACAGATTTTCTCCATTACCATTTCCACTTAAGTGTCTTATTAAATATTTTTGTACGTGTATTGCACGTTGATGGATGGCATTTGAGCACACTTCCTCTCCCGTTATAGAGCAGTATAGGTGTCGTTAATTATAAATATATAATTTAGTCATAAAGAATCTTTAAAATCTCATGGCAGCTGTGTATTTGCACATTATTCTTGAAATGCTAATAAGCAAGTTTGTGTGCATACATAATTACCTTAACAGTCAAAAATAAAAGTTTGAACATGCTTAGACCCCCATATGCATATAGTATGGAATATGTGCTCGAAAAGGAATTCTGTTGTTTCTTTACATCACATGCAATGAAGTAACAGTCAGTGAAAATATAAGTCATTCATGTGTTGTGAAAGGTCCATCAAGCCATGTGATCCTTTCCAGAGAACGTCGGTTCAATTTGACTCGTATTAAAATATGGTTGGCCAATCTAATTGTCTTCATGACCTAATGATTCTGGTTGGAGTTCTTCGTCTTTTGATAATAATATATTATAAAGTTGAGAGTTGGTTTCTTACCCTGGATGTAAGAAAAAAAAAAGGTTAAGCTGTAGTTTCGTGGTAGCATGTATGTGGATGAAATAGAGGAAACCACAGAAAAGTGGGTGATGCAATGCTGGTATACATGCTCAGCTGAAAACAGTTGAAGTTGAATTTCTGGTTCCTATGCCTAACACAGTTGAGCAACTGATTCAGTGAGTAGATCATCTCCTTTTTCTCTGAATAGCACATTGACAACCAAAGTTCCAAAAACATAAATAGAACTTTTAAAGCCTGTTTGGATTTGTAGGGGGTGAAGGGAAGTTAAGGGAAACTAGGTGAGAGAATGGAAGGGAAGGGAAGGGAGTTCCCTTCCCCTTGGTTACACCCTAATTTGAGGGGTAACAAATTTTATACTATTAGGGGGTGAACCAAGGGGAACTAGGGTGAATAACTTCACCTCCTAAATATTCCCAAACAAGGTGAATGGAGGTGAATGGTTCCCCTAACTTCCCTTCACCCTTATTCCCCTCAATCCAAACAAGCCCTTAGTATGTTTGCTAGATCATGCCGATTTAACCTGTTTACTAACCCTTGAAAATCCTTAAAAATTTCTAGTAGAAGAGAAGCAAACTAGGCTGCTGGTGGGACTACCTGCTGAAGTTTCACACACAAAAGAGACCAAAACCTACATGAATGAAGCTATTTGGAGTTTACCATTTTGTCTTATCAGGTTTTGAGTGTAATCAATTGAAAGATGCAAAGAACACAAATCAGTTTGTGAAGTTCATATCTTTAAATAGTGTCTTATAATTACCCCTTTGTGATGAAGAGTTTAAGTAGTGACTATGGAAATCTTTTTCTGGTTGATGATTTTCAATTCCTCATCACAAATAATGCATGTAGGCAACACATTTTCCCCATGGGCATATATCTTGCCGTCGTATTTCACATCTTCACAATATTCTTCTTAACAACATAATGCCAGCAATTGTGGCCATATGAAGCTCAAAAGTTTAATTAAACCATGAACTTGTATGTCATCGCTGAACTTTTTCAGTAATACAATGTGTGTTTGATGAGAAAAATTGAGCCTGTTGTGGAGAGTTTATTCTGTCAAATTTCAGGGTTTTCATCTTGCACATTTCGATTATCACCCAAAGTCAACAACAACATCAAAGCCTTTGTGTCAAAGTGTTTTTTTTTTTTTTGGTTTGGCTACATGTATCCTATTTTTCCATTTTGTTCTGATAAGACCTGTCTTCTGTGTTTATCATATCCTTCTTAATTAAGTTAATATTTCCAAACAAGTTCTCTTAGGTTAGTTTTTACTCCACCTTGTTACAGTAATTATTATCCAAAGAGTTTCATCAAATTTGCCTAGCTGTAAGAATCCCTGTAGTTCTCTGGACTTGCAATGGATATGTCCTCTCAGCCAAACTCACTGGTTGAAAGATAATCTTGTACATAGGATGAAAGCTACTAAGAAACAACTCATAATACTTCCAACATTCACAACAAAAGTAATTCTTCTCTAGTGTAATGGGAACTATATTAGATGCTTGAATCAGATCAATCGTGTCCATCCTGAAAGATACTTCAGATAAATAAGTAAATATTAATGAATTATTTAATATTTCAGAATTCCAACAATAAGCAGAATAACCAAAAATAATTAACAAGCAGTGACAACAAAACTTGGCGTAGTGTCAGCTTTTGTAGGATAATGTCAAAGTACAATGACTAAAATGTGGCCAGTGTTTAACGTACCGTGCCTCTATTCTTCTTGAATAGGGAACCTTTCCATGGCAACTAATTGCTGTTGGAATCAGATTACGAGGAAGTAAAAGACTGACAAGAACGTAATTTTCAGAGAGAGCAATAGACATAAAAATGGGCCTATGAAGTTATTATCAGTATTTATGTCCGAATTGAGAGTCCCCTGTAAGTAAACTAATCGACATACGTGAAGCTGTCAAACCATAAATATTTGTGATGTACATATTGATGGATAGATGCTTACAGCTTACCTCCAAATTCATGACAGATCTGACAACCTTATTCCACTGTAGACTAAACTTAATGGGAACAGATGAAGCTTAAGCAGTTATTCTTACCTTATGCCTTTGCATAAATGAGAATTGTGCATTGCATGAATATGCAGTTGTAGCTATATTGATGGCAGCTAGAAACTTAAAAGGATGTAGGTACCTTGCTGTTTACTGTTGGGAGCTGACAAACATAAGCTTTCTGACTTACTACAATTTCCTTATACAGGCTTCTTAAAAAAATTAAGTGCAGTCATCGTTCGCTTCCATTTTTTGTTTCTTTGTTTAGGGTCTGCTTTGTGATTGGTTTCATCCTTGTTATATTCTCTGCATAAATGTAATATATGTTGTTTGTTGGGAGCTACTACAGAATTTCTTGAGTTCAACACTGAAGTGGTTAGGTTTAGAAATGAAGCCAGTCATCTTTAAATGTCTTAACATCAGGAAGAATTCTTACTTAGAAGTATGCCTTTTCGAGTTGCCTAACAAGTTGAAACTGCGAGTTGAGAAGTTTATGTTATTGATGTAGGAGAAGCTTTTATGCACTGTGTCCTAGTCCCTCTGTCTGAAAGCTTAGGTCTTTTACTTTAACTAGGTAATTTTCCCTCTATTTTTTGGTGTCTAACATCTCCTCTTTATGGAAATTTCCATTTTTTAAGGCACAAGGTTCTTCTTAATCTTTATCTATTACTTAATTGTGTATCTCAAAATCAAAGTCATAATCCCGATCAAATGTTTGTCCTTTCGTTGCTTTCTTCAGTATGGAAATATTGCGGCCTCAGAACATCAATGGTTCTTCACAAGTAAGTTTGAAAGGGAAAATAAGAATCACCACGCGGTGTTTGTGGCTTGATAAAGGAAAGCTGCTAGATGCACTTTACAAAGCTGCACATGCTGCACTTTCGAGCTGTCCAGTAAATTGTCCACTAACTCACATGGAAAGAATTGTATCTGAAGTACTGAGGAAGATGGTACGGAAATACAGCAGTAAAAGGCCTGAAGTCATTGCAGTTGCTGTGGAGAACACTGTTGGAGTTCTCACTGAAGACTTCAAAACAAAATTATCTGGAACATCTCTTAGTGGTTTTGGGCTATCTTCAAAAAACAAATCATCTGGTGCCCATCTTGGAAAGATATTAAGCTGGAAGTCTGCTTCAGCTGATGATGAAGCCACTAATGCGACCAACACTTTGGGCAACCAAACAGAAAATGTGGCAGAAGGTACCTGGGTGTTTAGATTACTATTTTAATCTTATTGGTTACATTGATTAATGAATGTGGCAGTTATATCTAAGTTAAACTTTTACTTGTTAGGATAAGCATCCTGCATAAGTTTTAAAACCATTCTGTTGATCTTGTTATACTGGACTTTGGAACACGTGAGTATTTCAGATATGTTGGGTGCAAACAAGTAGATTGCCATTGTTTGCATATGTGATATGCACATAACTGAATGTCTAACAGTAGAATATCAAGATGAATGAAGTGGATACCCGGTTCACATGAGCATCAAATTATTTGTAGCATATAATTTGAAGCTTGTTGCAGACTGAGTCTGTCATTTCTCACAATCAAATACCTTATTGATTAGAATGTTACCAAAATACTTCTCTTATGCAATATCACATAACTAGTTCCCAGTTTAGCTTGATCCCTCTGCTAGCTGAAACTTACAGATCTTTTGGCGACATGCATATGTTAGTTAAGACATACAAATTTTCCAATGTTTGATTTTGTTCATCTTTATCTAAGAGATGTTGTCTTTCAACCCTATGTTATTATAGGTGAGAATTCTGAAGATGAGCAATCAGTACCTATGGCAGATGCAATTCCAGGCCCAGAGAAACTATCACCTTCACTTGGATCTCCAACTTCAAAAAGTACCTTGGAATCATTAAAAGGGTCTTCAACCGTTCAACCACCAGAAGTTATTATCACCTCAGAAAACTCAAGTAAAAATGCTAAAGTGTCTGTAGAGGAGAACAAGGCATCAGAAACGAAGGTAGTGGCTCGTACGCCCTCAAAACGGAACAAATGGAAGCCTGAAGAGATTAAGAGATTAATTACAAAACGTGCTGAACTAGATGATCGATTCCAGGCAGTTAAAGGGAGAATGATTCTTTGGGAAGAGGTATCTTCTAGCCTATTAGATCATGGAATTACTCGGAGTCCAGCACAGTGCAAATCTCTCTGGGCATCGCTGGTTCAGAAGTATGAGGTAACTATTGTTCTCTTCCCCTTAAAATAGCTCATCTTGACCTTTCTAGGTTTTGTTACAAGTTCCGTCTAGATCAGTCTCAGGAAGACCTTCAACGTTTAGCCTTATAAATACATGCATCCTTCCTCCTAATACGGGTCTCATTCAAATGTAGACATCACTTGATGTTAAATTAGGGGGAATCTTATTGCTTAATGGGAGGTAGAAATTCATTTCTTAGTTTTCTATCCAAAAGTCAACTCCATTCCCCAATGGTCTTGCTGCTCTAAACTTGTCAACTGGGTGGAGATGCCCAAGTACAACACTTCACATTTTTTTTCAAATCTAGTATTAATAACGGGTTTTCTAGGTTTTTGTTACTAATACTTGACCTGTTTCACTGAGAATAAGCCATATTTGAATCACGGATGGTGAGCTCAAATTGGTTGTAGGATTCTCCCATCTGCATTAGGCTTGTTTGTAGCTATTTATGATAACCCATCTTTGCTCTCACAAATGTAGAATTACATGGTCTTATGGACGGATAGTGCTTTCATGATTTGCTTACTTTCTTTCATTCAGGAGAGCCGCACTAATGAGAAAAGCAAAAGGAACTGGCCTTACTTTACTGCAGTGGATAAGATTTTATCAATACGGGAAGCAGCATGATGAGCAAATAATACATCTATCAGAAGCTTCACACCAAAATTTTCACATGATCAATGGCATTGCCTACAAGTGCGTGCCGATGACTATCTTGCTTTCTATTCCCTTGGATAAACAATTGGGGGGGTTGGGGGAGGGGTAGAAAGGACTTTGTATCAATGACAACACATGGTGAGACGGCTCAGAGGCCAACAATAACATAACAAGGGCAGTTATCCAGTTGGTCCTGGCTTATATTCATAAGATGGGGTGAGAATTCAGAGAGGAGATTAAAAAGAAAGCAATATCTGGTCATGCATCTTTACTTGTACAAGTACCCTGCCTGTGAAGTGTGAACAGTTTTGGCTCCATTCGATTCGAGCAATAGAAATAATTTTATATCTCTATTCTTCTAGTCTGCCAAATTTATCTATTTTTAGTGTCTGTTGACGACCTCTGATTTTCTATTTGTTCAATTGATGGATAAAAGTTGATAAATGTATTTCGTTTGAGGGTTTTTGTGCTTCACAGTTGCTTTGATTATTGCATGCTGCAGAATGTTATAATTACTACGAGCGCTGGTCGGAATGATTTTGTATTTTTCTGCTGGACCTCCCATTTCTTTGGTTTTTCGCAATTCTAAAAGTCTCTTAAGCAAGATTTTGCTGAGAGAGTTGCTAATGTTCTGGTTGAATCGCCTGATTAAGAACCTCTGTTATGAAAAATCCCCAGAAACGGAGACTGCTCCAAGTTAATTATTCTACCGTGTAAGCAGCTCATACAACAAACAAATTCAGAATTGTTTGTTAAATTTGCGATGGAAAGTGTACTCGATAATTTCATTAGTTAATCCTCATGGGACAGAAATTCTATGTTTACCACATGAGCGTCTGTCTAATTTCAGCGGTTAGTGCCTGGACCTCGGCGAGCAGACTTCGCGAGTTGCTAGTTCACTTGACAATCGTCCGCCTAATGATAACAGAAGTAAATGGATAATTAATATAGTAATGAAACCTACAATTCTAACGTTGACGTTAATAATGCTTGATAATGTGGAGTGGTACAGTTAGCATTGATCCTAATAATATCACGGGAAGCTCAACATCAAATAACAGCTTATCTTGAAACTTCAGGAAAAAGGACATGTTACTGTGCAACCTGACCGATGCCCAAGTGCACTATGAATCGGTACACTACTATCATAAAAATAGTGATCAGAAACATGAGACTTTTTTCCAGTACAAATATAATAATTTACTCCCAAGAAATCCGAAATTGCAGCTCCTTTGAACAAACATACATAAATCATTAAGGTAGGGAATGGAACATCATCTCGACTTTTCCCCCCCATTTAATTCAAGATCAACGCCAAAGGCAGTATTTTAACAATGTGATATGGATAAAACAAAAACAATATAAAGATTGAATTAGTCCCAGAATCCAGGTGCTTGAACAGCTTACAACACAAATCCTTATAAGGCTTATCATCTTCGTATTTAGCTGAATCAAAGCCCTTTAAATTCATCATCTTCTACCATGCACCTAAATTCGCAACATAATTACATGTCTTACATTGAATTTCGAGAAACATCAACGAGCATAAAACTCCTTTCCGACTTCCAAACAGAGAAGGCCAAATTTTGATATCAATTAAACAAAAACCAGCTTCACATCTGATAGCAACATGGCCAACAGGATTAAGAGAGCATGCACTCCGAAAGAGTCATAATGATTATCATGCCTCAACCACAGCAACCTCCTCATCGGTTGTCTCAGATGTGACAACCTCTTCCTGTACATCTTCACCTGGAACCTCACTTTCTGAACTACTTTTCTTCTGTGTCTCTGTATGTATTAGTTTCTCCCTCAGTTTCATTGTTAACTCTTCTTGGGCTTCTCTATTCTCAGCAAAATATCGCTTGATGGCCTCCTTGCCACGAAAGGTCTGGCCATTCAAAGTATAGAACGCACCACTTCTGGTGATGAACTTGTGCTTGCAGCCTAATTCTATTATCTCTGAGTCACGGGAGATTCCCTTTCCGAACTCCAGCTCAAACTGCGCGGTCTTGAATGGTGGTGCATGCTTGTTTTTCACTATCTTTACAAGAACTTGACTTCCTACAGTCTGTCAAAATGGCTTATATTGTTATCTATATTTCAAATGCTGAAAAAACCAAATACAGCATGTGTAAACTAGATGTAGTTATGAATAAGGTAACAAAGAACATTGTGCATCTAAGCATGGTACCAAAACGCATCACAGTGAATAATTTGACAGGGACATTGCAAAAGGAAAAAAAGAAATCCTTAAGACTTATTACATAGCTTGAAAGGAAGTGAATGTGCTAGTGCCTGGACAAGGGTGCATTATGGAAAATGGGATTGTTGACCTGTGAACTCTAGCATGACTAAATTTGACCCAAATGCAAAATATACAACACTTGTCCATCCACACGTGCATTTATTTTACACTCAAGGTTTTCAGATTTTAATGGTAGAACTTAAACATATCGATATACTGCATACACCAGGATCCTCCCTAACATATGTTTCACATTCCAGGTTGCAGCTCACACTTCTGAGAATAAGTTGCATTCTCATTCTGTGCCAAAATATGTCAATACTGAATAACTTAGTAGTCATTATGCATATGGTAGAGGTTCTACCTTTGAGAATATAAAAATAAAAAATCATGGATACAAGGTATTTTACCTCTTCCCCTTTTTTAACCAGTCCGATTCGTTTAATATTCAGGCGAACAGATGAGTAGAATTTCAAAGCATTCCCCCCAGACGTAACTTCAGTTGGGCCACCAAATCCGAACGTTTGCAGCTTTGACCGCACCTATAAAAGGCACAATTTGATCATATTCCTTGATAACATGTTTTTCAGATGAAATTGGGAATGTATGACTTCAAATAGATAAAATGCTTCCTTTAACATATCATTGGGCTAAATGTGGACAATACTTTCCAGGGTCTCCACAGTGGAAAAGAGGGGGAAAAGACAACAAGCAGAAAGACAACTCTGCCCAGCAGAAGATTTCAGAAAGGGAATGAATAAAATTTATCGGCAACAATTCAAAGTCACAGAAGAAACGGGAGCAATGGAGGCATATGAACATGGAATAAATTCAAAGTAATATTTCCACTGCAAATTAATTCCTAGTTCCATGTGCTTCAAGCAGCAAAAATCTGAGTGTCTGTATCACATTAAGCAGGGGCTGCTATTTCGTCCTAGGCTGCATGGACCACCAAATTTAAATGGCCACGTAATGAGAAAAACCAATGGATAAAGCAGACAAATGGTTATGTCAAGCTAATGCCAAAAAAATATGGGATAAAGTCACTGTCTGTATCTCTAGTGTATAGAGGATGGTACCAGTTTCATCAAAAAGCACGAGCAAGTTGAGCCCAAATTGCATTTTAATTTAATGAGACCTACCTGGTTAATAAATACCAAGATCGTCTGAGATAAAGAAAGAGAATGGCTCAACTTTCGAAGAGCTTGGCTCATCAGTCTTGCTTGGAGGGCCATATGTGCATCCCCCATCTCCCCTTCAAGTTCACTTTTGGGCACTAGGGCAGCAACCTGCAAAAACTTCAGTTGGTAACACCTGTATCTCCCTGATGTATTACAAGCGATAATGTAGCACAATCTATACTATACAACATATAGTAAGAGAAGGCCCCTTTTCTTGCTTGTGTGAGCCACAATCTTAGAATTCCAAAAATGCCTCAGACCTGGAAAAACAATTGGGGGGAAAAAACTACAGAAATGCCCTCACACTGTGCAGGTACGCAATCAGCACTGGGATACTAATCATTAGGTGCACAGGTTTAGATACGACTCAGATTTGATGCTTACCATATCCGCTAAAACTGTGTGTGTGTATATACATATATACATACATACATATATGTATATATACATGTATATGTATAGAGAAAAATGGGTATTCTTGGTACCAAGTACAAAAAGTTATGCTTGGTAGTGATGTGTTACATCCCCTCTACTCATTCAAATGCGGGACCACATTCACATAGGTAGGGAGTGGATGAGGATGTGACACATCACTACCAAGCACACAATTTATGCTTGGTACCAAGCATACCCATATATATATATAGGCCACATCACTACCAAGTTGTTTGGAGCAACTTGGTACCAAGTTTCTCCATTTTTCTCATATATATACATACATACATACATGTGTGTATACTCATTTACATGTGTGTGTGAATGCAAATATATACGCGGATAGAGAATGGATATGAGAAACCAGATAATATCAAAAATTATATATAGTTTGTATGGTACAAGAGGGTTCATTAATGTATTCATTATATCTGAAAAGCTAATATTAGATATCTCGTTCATCAAAATTAGTGTCAAATCCATTAATCTAAGTATTAAAACCATAGCAATTGTATGATCAACATCTATTCAGATACTATCAGATAATGATTTGGATATTTTACTATATAACCAATATCCGAATCCTTACAGATACAAATACAGATATATCCGCGGATATGGACTTTTTTGTGCACCCCTACTAATCACTCATTAAAAAAATGTGATATTTACGCCTTTACGGTTATAGGCAGAGTAGATAACTAAGCAAAACAATGTTGCAGCCATGACATAAACAGCAAACATATATATATGCACACACACACACACATAAGATAAAAACCCTACTGTTCTTTATGAATTAAATAAAGTGTTGATTTATTAGCACACAGCAGTAAAATACTGGAACTGTGCCACACTTCATATATAGCAAGCTTAAATCACTTCAAAGTTCAAATGGATGACAAAGGATTTCAGACACACAATACACAGAAGATCACCTTGTCTGAAATACATACTAAACAAAGATTTCAAAATCAGCATGATATATTAAAACATGACAAATTCATCTACCATAGATTATAGTACTTGCATACGCATTTTTTGTAGAACTGTAGAGACTAGGCTCTTGGAAAGAAGCAAATTAAGGAGATGAAGCTATAATAAACTCATTATACTATAATGGATTTGACTCATTGAACCCCTGAAACATAAAATTCAAACATGAACTAATCATAAATTGTAAAGCACGGGAAAGTCATGCCATTCCTTTGATACGCTTCCATATTGATGCTCTATCCAGTCCTCTATCTAGATCCTTAGTGTGATTTTTATGTTCTCCAAACGCCCATTTTAACATGATTTAAGGGTTTAAGTGGTGACACAGGACCAGACACATATGGATCAATCAAACACACGGCTGGATGCAATCCTAGACATAAACTATATGCGTGTAACTAAATGCAGACACAAACACATTTGTTCAACTTATATCTGTCCATCCTTTGATGACAATAACTCAAGATGGTTTAAAAAAAAAAAAACAGCATTGTGAAAGACGCTTCTACTTTGAAGCTATACACATAAGGTATCCTTGGTCCTTTAAACAAATATTAACCCTAGGAGCAATGGCTCTTTTTAGTGGATTTTACTTAATTATACATGTTATACAAAAATACGGTCAAATTATGAAGAGAACACAAGTATTATGTTTGGAAAACAGTATATTGGCCAGAATTATGTAGATCCCCACATATTATATGGAAAGCAATCCTCGGATAGATGGAAGCAAGTTTCTGTATAAGCTACGTCATTGGAAAAATACATTCTCTTTCAAGTATTTGATATATTTCAGAGGAAGTTTTTGAGAAATGGATTGTAATAACTCAGACCAAAAACATTAAGTGAGGAATACAGGCAGGTGACCAATCTATGATGATTTATGTGGCTTACAACGATCTCATGTTACTGAGCCAATGAAGTGAACACCATCCAGTGATAAATTCTGCAATTACTCTGGTAAGAGTACCTTCTAGATAAATGCATCAAATGTACATTGACTTAACAGTCCATACAAAGAGTCCTCACTAAAAGAATTTAAAAACAGGCTATAGTTTCTTATGCGACAATATAAAACACAATGGCTGATATTCAGGAAGGAACATTCCAATCCCCACTAAAGCTCAAGGATTAATACATTATTCATGGCTTATTTGCACCCCTATGAGAAAGCGAACTGTAAATCACTAAAATTCAACTAAAAATTAAAGCTAAAACAACAAATCATGCATCTTTACGTTTTTTCGGAACAATGTCAATTACATGGAAAGTGAATCTACCAAAACAGGGTTCTGTAGTGGGAAGAGGTTGGGCAAATAATGTCAATTAAAACAACCTAGAGTGTATATCATCTTGCCAAGACAATCATAGAATCATATGCCTGATCTCAATTTGTTGTGCATTCCGAGGCATGGCCTTTGTCTAGACCCTTAAGTTTGCACATATTTGTGGATAGATATTATCAAATTGCACCAGCAAATACTTTGAGCAATTGGCTCTCCAACTGTTCGACTGTCATTTAAATTTTTGAGGAACCCTCCAGTTCCATAATTTCCATGGTCAAGAAATGGAACCAACCTTAACTTTAAACGCAGCTAGACTAGGTCAATTGTTATTAAAACCTTTATGCTAGGTAACCCCATAGCGGAAAAATGAGATTCCTGCATACTTCAGCTTCCAAATCTTCAAAGAAATCTTCTGATAAAAACTTTTTGTTGTTGCTTCAGAATTACATCTGCTGCATACTAAGTCATGCCAAACTCCCATGCCACAAACTATTTAAATTAATAGAACTATTTTCTAAATTACACCTTCTTAACAACAACAATTAATTATCTATTTAAAAGCATGTTTGATGTATGACGCTTCACTTGTTTTTTTTTTTTTTCAGTGAACTAACTTTATGAACAAATAACTTGAAAAGGAAATATATAGTGGCCTGGATCTAGGACTGGCTTCAAATACTATTGGTTATGACAGTATAACTGACGTTGCAAAACAAACATTAGCTTAGACTGGTCCTGCATAACAAAAACATTAGTTTAGATCTTCTAAATACCTTTCTGTTAACAGTATGCTGATACCACTAACTCAATCTTAAGTTGACAAGCAAATAGCAATATATAATGATAAAAGAGGGGTGGAATCATCAAATGGTTAACTACCTGGAGTATTTTGTTCTAATGTCACTAAAAATTATTCTTACAAAATCCAGAACCATAACAGTGATTCAAGAGAAGTGATAATAAATAAGCAGATAATCAGATGAAAGCAAGTTATAAGATCAACTTGGTCAAGGAAACCAAATGGATGATAAATGCAAATATTTGGATAACGTAGATTGTTAGAGTTCGAACTCACACTGTCTACAACCACAACATCAATTGAACCACTTCGAATTAGGGTGTCAACAAGACTAAGTGCCTGCTCACCACAGTCGGGCTGTGAAAGAAGCAAATCATCAGTTTTCACGCCAATAGACTCTGCCAATGCCGGATCAAGTGCATGCTCAGCATCTACAAAAGCACAATAACCTAGGGAAAAAGAGGGAGCATAAAACATAGTTAACAGAAGCAAAATCCATGTAACAAACTTAGGAATTATAATCTATGAAAAAGTAAAGAATATTTCAACATTTGAAACTTCCAGAACAGGTCAAAAAAAAGACATACAAAGTGTCAACACTATCAGCTACTGCCATTACAGGGTTAAACAGCAAAATGTTCAAGTAGCATAAAAAAAAGGCTGACGGCCAAGGGGACTCCCACTGCTTAAATACTCGGCTGCACAAAGAAAAGATAGGATGGGAATACAATAGAAAATTGGCGAGAGAGGAGATGAGGACAACGGAAGAAACAGTAAAAGGACGAACTAAGGTGTGGAAGGGAGGGGAGATGAAGAGAACTAGAGAAGAGAAAGGCAAGACAATTTTAAGAGAAGAAAAAAAGGAAAAATCAGAGAAAGATGATAAGGGGCTCTCAGTGCCATTCGTAGCCAGTCCATATTTATTATCACCATCATTCTCCTACCTTGCTCTTTCTCACCACTGGCCCCTAGGACTAGGAAAATAGGGTTGAGATAGACGAGGATCATGTGAGGAAAAAATTGATAGAGAGAAAAGAGGCTCTAACCAGCCTGCAGACCCATCTGATAGAGACCCCAGGGAACAAATTACATGTGCCGAGGCGCTCTATGACATCTTAAAGCGATCCTAGGCAACTTGCTTCAAACTGATCTTAATAGAAGGTTCAGGCACTAAGCAAGGTGATGAGCAGCTTGACCAGTCTAGGAACCCGCAGCCACCTTTAAGAACGATGCTTATGCAAAAAGAAGAATATTACAATTAAAACCGAAAAAAGTGTAAACAGCACCAAGTATGAAACGAGGGCCTAAAAAGTTGATGCTATGTAGCTCTATGTTTGGCGGTATAAAGAATTACAGCACAACGAGTGCTCTGAATCATATCTGACTCATAGTTACAAACATTATCAAGATGAAGAGACTTATAACTGTTGATACTTCACTCATAATCATTGATTTAAATGCATTTTATAATTATTGTTTCCTTAGGCTATCATGCATATGGATCCCTCTGAATTACAAATATATTTATGCAGATGAAGGTTACAGTCCTAACCATCCATATTCCCAGATTGCACTGCTAATTGGTGACCACATAGCCACATAGCCAATTTAAAAACATACTATGTATGTTGATATACAAAGTTAAAAAGAAGATACGAGTCTTACCCCCATTTTTTTGTGATTCAGCAATCACATGAAGTGCAAGAGTAGTTTTTCCTGACGCCTCCGGACCATATATCTCAACAACACGTCCCTACCAAAACTACAAGGGATGAGACAAATGAACAACAAAAGGTAATGGAAAAGAATTGGGTACAAGAGCCAGAAACTGTGTCAAAACTATTTACTTGAATACCAATCGGGTCATAAATGTAAGTGCGTCAGAATAAAATCATGAAAATACTGCAGTATGGACAAGATGCAGAAGTAATAGCCTTAATCCATCAAAGTAGGAAAGCTATTTGAATCCACATTTAGATGTTATTCATGCATCAAGGATGAATTATTTAATAATCCATTTTTATGTTTTTTACAAAAAAAAAAACTTTCAAATAGGCTCACTGTATCTACCTTGAGGTAACATGAACCACAGTCCAAGGCCAGCAGGCAGAGGTAACACCAAAGCGATAAAGAAAGAAGAAATATACAACAGAAATAATTAAATAAACGTAGAGAAGTTTACAATTATTCATCAGGTATAAAGCATTCGAAAGGTGTTTGTCCCTCCTTAATACTGAATTCCCTTGCCAAAGGAAAACATGAGAAGATAGAAAATTTTAGCCATCATAAATATGAAAATACTTTATAGCCATCAAAGGAGCTCAAGAGACCAATTCCAATGAGACACATATTCTAATTTATGTATATTTGAAAATATATACTGAATTTATGTATATTCTAATTTATATATTTGAAAATATATATCATGCCCCCTTATCATGCTTCCTTGTTCATATATTTGAAAATGAGACGCATATTCTAATTTAAATATATCTGAAAAATATAGAGCCATCAAAGGAGCTCAAGAGACCAATTCTAAATTCCATAAAAACCTGACAAGGGAGCATGATATATTTTTTCTCAACAATGGCATCTATAGAAAAGAAAACCAGATCAGTGCATCCTACAGTCCAACATACTGGCACAAAGAGAAAAATAGAGGTCTAAGGCATTTCCCCTCAGTGTATGATCATTACAAACCTATAGAAAATCTTTTCATGATTAAGAAAAAGAAGAGGCACACTGAACTGACCTTGGGAAGTCCACCGATACCCAGTGCTATATCCAATGAGAATGATCCTGTGGAAATGACAGGAACTTCTCTCGGTACATTAGAGCGACCAAGCCACATGATTGCACCCTTTCCAAACGAAGCTTGAATTTGATCCAAAGCTTGATGTAGAGCCACGTCTTTCTTGGACAGATTCTCCTCACCAGATTCGCTTCCATCTGACTTTGACTTTTTTCTCCCTGGAAATAAAGAAATTGCATACTAGGTTTATTTTCACAACATGAAACAACTGGCAGAGGTAATGGTCAATACAGGGAGCTGATGCAATGCAAAGCTTAACATTGAAAGGGCTTGCAAGGAAAAAGAATCATTTGCATGTATAGAGAACGGAAGCATTGTGCTGCTTTATATGCTAACCAAGGAAAAGAAGCAGGGGCGGATTTAAATAGTGCATAGATGTGCACTTGTGCAGCTGCGCCCCTGAAAATTTATATATGGCATATCTTGTAATATTTATAATCTGCCTCCCTATAAATTTTTAAAAATTTCACCCCAACCTATCTAAAAACACTTAATAAGTTAGTAGCAAATTAAATTAGCCTATTGGAAAGGAAAAGTCCTTTTAGCTTTTCAACAACCAAAGTCAAATAGGCCCAATAGAGATGATAAAGTGTACCAAACACATTCTAATATTATATCTTTATTTTTAGGGTAAACCGATACTGTTGCCTCCCTCCCAAAAAAAAACAGAAAAAATTTGGATCCGCCACTGAAAACAACAATCTTTTTCTTTGGTGCAAGCTGGGTTTTCCTATTGAGACAGTAAAGTTATCAGATATGACATGCCTGGTGTGTAAATTTCACAACCTCGTCTCCCACCCACCCTACACACACAAAAACTTTAGGGTGTTTCCCACAAAAAATCCCTAAACTTTGTCTTTGCCACTTAACTCCCGAAAATTTTCCCACAATACCGCCATGATTTTTTATAACTTTCCCACAAAAACTCCCCAAAACGTCTCTAGAAATTGGACGACCTTATTATCTACCCATTATTGTTCTTTCCTCATTTTATTTAGGGCTCATCTTCTCCTCTTATCCTCTTCTCCTTGCTTTTTATGGGGTTTGGTGGGCAAAGCTGAAAGTTTTCATGGTTGTTTGAGACTCTATGGAGTTGGGGGTTTTCGTAGGAAAAGTTTCGGTATTTATGGGAAAAACAAACTTCGAGGTGGAGTGGGTAGGTTGTGGGAAACAGCCCAAAGTTTTGGGATTTTTTTGTGAAATTTACCCTTTATTTTAGTTTGACTATAAGCAATTGAGGCATCTTTAGCCAAAAGAAAAAGGTTTATTTTTGCAAAATGATTTCATATCCTGTCCAGGAAAAGATAGAGAAGCTCCCTATTCTACCGTGATGGATAATCAATTTCAAAAAAAAAAAACCATCTACATGCATAACCACAAACTTTTACATTTTTTATCACATTGACGTTCAAATGCATGAAGATCAAAAGAACTTAAAGAAAAAGTGACTAATTGTTTTGAAAATATTTTATTTAAATATAAGCTCAAATTTTCAACTGGCAGAAGCAAGTGAGATTGCTGAAGACAAAACATTTTCCTGGAGGATTCTCATTTCACCCTAATGCTGTATGTTCAAGTAAAAACAGCACAAGTGGATGTCATTGCACGGATATAAGGGGGTCACAGGCAAAATTCCCAAAAGAATTCTAACAATGACTCCAGATTTGTCTCCTTAAAGATTACAAATTGTAAAACCTCGTAAAATTGAATTATTATGTGATAATTTGAAATAATATGCGATTAATTGAGATAAGTGGATATTTATCGTGATAAATATCATTAAATGGTGCATGAGTATGATAGCAAGTGTTTTAGGTGCAAACAAGTCTGTATATGTGAAAGAATCGAGTCGAAAACATGCACAAAGGCAAACCTGCACAAACTGAAAATTTGCGGTCCGGTCGACCGTTGCGTAAGTTGCGGTCGACCGCCTGACAGGTTTCCAGTTTTTCCTGTTTTGAATTGGTTTCGTTTTTTTAGGCCCAACTGCACATAGGTGTTTATATAGTCTTTTTTCACGAAAATTCACATCTTATTTCGGAGTTTTAAAACCCAAGAGCCACCAAACCCTCTTTTAAACCCTAGATCTTATTTTGTGAGAGTTCAAGAGCTTTTGAAGCGGTATTTCGACTTGGTTTTGACGTGTGACTTAGGGATCTGCCTTGGCTTTACATCCTTCACGTTTTCAACGAGTTTTCAGGCGAGTTTCATCTCTGCTAACCTTACTCCCACGTTTTTAAATATTTTATCAATGTTACATTAAATGTTGGGCGTTCCTAGACGCCAGACTTGGCGCACAGCGTTCAGACGTCTAGATGGGCGCCTAAGCGATTTTTGAGCGTTTTTTTTCTTTTTTCTATTTCTAATTACGATACAAGATATATATATATACTCATGATAAAGGGGTAAACTAAAGTATTAATTATTAAATATACACTTAAACTAATATTTCCAACTCTTATCAATCATCTCAAATACTAAGTTATTGTTGTTAATTACTAAGTTATTGGGCATAGAAAAATTGCTAATTACTATTTTTAAGCTCTTTTTATAGTTATACTAATTACTAAGTTATTATTGCTCACTGACTTTGTTTTTCTTTTTTACAGATTATACTAGTTGAGAGTTCAGTAGCAAGCTGCAAGGATGAAGGAACAATCAAATTTCCCAACACAACTACCAAATTAAATATCGATAATTCATTCATTAAATATGTATATTCATAATTTCATATTGTATTCCTATTTTCAAAATTGTGAAGTTTGTGAAGTGTGAAGTTTGAACAGCAGAAAAATTAAAAAAAAAGGAAAATAGAGAAACTGAAAAAATTCTCTAAAAACAATCATCTAAATGTAATTAACAATTAATTTTTTAACAACTAAGTAAAGGTTTTCATAAAACAAATTCTCAAGAAACAATTACGGAAAAATTGAAAAAAAAATGAACTGTGTATAGACTAAAGGAAAACACCAAAACCATACACTGGTTTGAGCAACGCTGCAACAGTATTATAAAAAAACGATAAAAATGCACTGTGTAATCTATAAGAAACCCTATTAATGTTAAACCAAAGGTCTATATCTGAAATGATGAATAAAATAAGCAAACAACCCTCTTTACCTTGTTACAGAGATGAAACGGATCAAAGACGTGATCGATGACATGCTCGGAGCCTCGCAGGTTGAAGACGAAATCAAAGACATGCTCAAAGGTTGAAGATGAGCCTAGAGGTTGACGACGAAATCGAAGACGAGATGTTCGTGACGGCGTCGGGTGAGCTTGGAGCTTGAAGACGAGATCGAAGACGTGCTCGGAGGTTGAAGATGAGCATGAAGGTTGAAGACGAGATCGAAGACGTGTTCGGAGGTGGAAGATGAGCTTGGAGGTTAACGATGAGATCGAAGACAAGATATTAGTGGTGGTGTCAGGGAGACAAAACAGGTCGAAGATGAGCTTAGGGTTAGTTTGCGTTTTGGGTTTGGGGTTTGGGTTTTGGGTTTGTGCTTTTCAGCGCCCAGGCGGGGGGTTCTTTGAATTGTGGGGCGGCGACGCTTACGCGGCCCGTTAAACCATGGGCCGGACCGCCTAGACGCTCCCAGCGCCTAAATGTGGCCGCTCAGGGCATTTTAACACGTCCTGGGCACCGCCTCCGTCTAGACGGGCGTCTAGGCGGCCGCCCAGGGTGTTTTTTACAACGCTGTGTTTTATTGAGTTTTAATATGGTTTTATTGAGCCAAATCAACTATTTTGAGTATAAAAATAGCTCTTTCATAATATTTGAGTTAAAGATCAGATCTTTTCGTGTTTAGATGATTATAAACAAATTTTTAGAAGTGGTTAAGATCTAAAATTAACTAAGCAAGAGTTTTAACTGCATTTGGATGTTTTACACGACGTGTTGAGGCTTTTACACATGTTTAGGGTTTGTATATGTTATCTCATACAAATAAATATTGTTTCATGTGTTTAATAATCTTCAGAGATGTTAATCTAGTATTTATAATGTTTTATTCAAGTTTTATAACGAGTTAAACAAGTTAGAATCACGAAACACGCACGCGAACACAAACTGCAAAATTGTAGTTACCAGGTCTCTGGCCGCTGGCCGGTCGACCGCGGCCTAAGTGTCGGTCGACCGTCAGTGTATTTCGGCCTTGTGCATGTTTTGACTCAAATTGTTGTTTATTGAGGGGTTTTTCTCGATTGACATGCATTGTTCTAGGATGTTTATGATTTGTTTAACACTTGAAATGTTTGTGAACATGAGATATAGATCCGCACATCGAGATTTGTGCACGAACACTTGAATCATGTTTCTAAAATGAGTATACATGCATAGTTGAGGTGCATAACACATGTTGAGTTGATTTTTGTTGGTATAACACGTGTTTGCGTCAGGAACAAGTTCTGTTGTAGAATTCATTATAACTGTTTATCGATTACAATGAATACAAAAGAGTGAGCTTCGTACTTTGTAAAACTACTCCTTATAACAAAAATCAAATTACAAGCTCCTTAGAAACAAACGCAGGATCGTTGTTTGGATCGCTGCTTGCGCGGAATCTTTGCCTGTGCCGGGGGTGCGTTAGCCCGTGGACCACCGAATCACGAATTCTGATTGAATCGTGAAGGCTTTAGGAATTCTTTCTTCGTTTAGAAACAAGAATAGTTTCAGTGAATATCTTATCGAAGTAAGATGAACACTCTTCTCAAGATCAAGTCAAAGCTTAGATCTTAAGGAACCTCCTAATTGTTGGAAAGAGATGAACTCTTGAAATTTACCCAAGCCTCTTTGCTCTCTGTCCTTGGATCTGCTCCAAAAATGCTTAGCCCCTTTTGTAACCATCGTCCTACTACTTAAATACTATTCTTTTATGAGGTTAGTGGGCCTATTTTCAGTTTGTAACTATCTCCCCACGTTTATGGTTAATCTCAAGCAGTTATGAAGCCAAAAAACCGTTAAAAAACGTGTTGTAAGCAACTCTGTGACCGAGACAGAGTTGTGTGTCTCGCACTTCCGAGACAGTTTGTACTATCTCGGGTATTTTGGCTCTAACTCCCTCGTTCGATCTCGGAATGAGATGATCCAAGATGCGTTGGAAAGCTGACGAAGAGATCTATAACTTTTATCTTTTGGGTTTCTTCAGATTTGGTGTGAGACAGTCATAACTGTCTCGCATTCCGAGACAGTTGCGACTGTCTCGCACTTCCGAGACAGTTTGTATTGTCTCGAGTATTTTGGCTCTAACTCTCTGGTTCGATCTCGGAATGAGATGATCCAAGATGTATTAAAAAGCTTACGAAGAGATCTACAATTTTTGTCTTTTGACCTTTTTCAGATTTGGTGCGAGACAGTCATAACTATCTCGCATTCCGAGACAGTTGCAACTGTCTCGCACTTTCGAGACAGTTTGTATTGTCTCGGGTATTTTGGCTCTTACTCCCTCGTCCGATCTCGGAATGAGGTGATCCAAGATGCGTTGAAAAGCTTGTGAAAAGCTCTACAACCTCCCATAGGCGATACACTCATGGAGTGGATGATACACACATGATACTTCATCCTTTTGTGGGCGAAGCACAACTCCCGGTTTAGTTGTTACTTCATCGTTTAGCATGTTTCACAGACTTGATGTGCTTTTTAGCTTCTCTACAATATCAGATGATTTCCTTTAACTTAGATAATCTTGACTCGGATAGTAACATTCATCGTCTTTTCTTCATCTCGAACTGTATGAGAACCTATAGGTAATTTTTTATGCCTACAACATGATCATGCATAATTCATCAGTTGTGGATGTACGGTGTGGATGTTTTCCTCGCAATGAGATCGGGGTTTTACCACACTAGGGAGTATTTGGACGTTTTTCCGTAATGAGATCTCGACGGTACCAATACTCGAAGATGATCGGGTTTTTTTTCGGATTGGTCTGATATACCTATACTCCGTTGTACGATCATCTGGATGTATCATCCGGAATACGGAGATATACCTATTACCACAGAACGATTGAGTAAGGACGTTAAATCCACATGATATTATGAGAACCTTACAAGAGTATCGTTAATTGATATATATATATATATCCGAGAGTTGGGTACACATCGGATACTTAGCATACATGATATGGTCTATGGTAATATTTATGTTGGATGATATTTCATTATCATTGCGCCAGCTACCCGAGGGTAGTTTGAGACTGTGACTTTGGCTCTGTATGGTTGAGGTTTGGAGTTGTGGTATTTTTTCCTTTAAGTATTGTTTTTCATTCATAGGTTTCGGATTGGTATTTAGCGATTCACAATTTGAGACATGGTATATTGGTATATACATGAGGTTTTTTTATTTGGATTATTTCGCTCGACGTACTAATTCTCGTGTTATGGGTTTCTAAATATCAGTCTTCATTTAGAGTTATATGAATGATTTTATATCTATATATACTAATAGTATTTTCTTATATACTCCTACCCTTTCCTCCTGGGGACGGTGGAGATGATCTCGCTAGCGCTTTAACAGTCATTGTTTCCCCTCTTTTCCAACGGCGAGTCAGTCGCACGAATGGTCACAGGTTGATGTGGTTGCATCTTAGCTTCCATCCAGTATATTATATTTATTGTTATTTTTTAGAGCTCCACAGTAGATGTTTATTTGCAGACATTAGAGTTTATATTTTTATTTTGTAGAGGCTGAGTGCCTTAGTGAGATTTCATTTGACCCTTGTATTAAGATTTATTTCAGATTCAGAGTTATTTTACTCTTTTTTAGTTGGGCCCTGATGAGGGTTATTTATACACTTCTTCTGTGTATACTCTGTTCATTGTACTATTTCACTATTCTTTGTTTGTTTTGTACCTACACCTGTCTGTTGATTCCTATAGAGAGATAATAACTATGATGGTGAAACATGTTGTTGCACGATGTTGGTGCATGACATGTTTGATATTCTTGGATTCACCTTAGACTGCAGCCTTGTGTGAACCCAGGGGCATCATACAAATACTTCTGCACAAGTGGGCAAAATATATTGTCCAAAGCCAAGTGAATATATGCCAAATCCGAAGACCAAAAATTCTTTCAAACAAATTTATATCAAGTGGTTCATTAAAAAAAAGGAATACTGAGATTACAGTCTCAGGATGATTTTGCAGTTCTAGTTTTATAGGCTAATGACATTCAGGTAAAAAACATAGAATTGCATCTCTAAAAAATGTAGTTCTTAAATTTTATACTAGCTTGTAAGATGCACAGGGTTGAGTTTCACATATGTAAGGTTCATGAGGTAATGGAGGTGGTTAAATAAAATAGATGAAACAAGTTGAGTGTACTGTAGATCTAGCAGCAATCTAGCTTCTATAGGAAAAAATTTTAAACAAGCTGCACAAGCTCAAAACTGAGAGACATGACTTGCCGCAAAATATTCAAGTAGTGACTTAAAAAAATATCCTTTTAATTGTCTCACTTTCTACAGGTGTTTGAAACAGTATATGGGCAATAATCTTTTAGTGGAAATAGAATTACATTCACCTTTAGCAGAGAAGTTGCGGGCATGAGAAGCAGACCCCACAATTCCTTGTCTACAATTCTGCCAATAAAAACAACATCAGAGAACTCGCATTTTTATGCAATATATAAACTAACGTTAGAATGAAAACGAAAAGATAATGGTAAACTAACTAGATGGTGTCATTTTGCAATTTGCAGCATTAAATATTGATGATATGGTTCCAGAAACTCCTTTAGGCAATTAAATGTCGTATGTTGGTATTCCTTGGAAAAAGTTACGGTATTTCCTCATTGGCAATTATTATGTTTGTTCTATATTGTGGCTCAAACAAAGAGGTCATTTCCAATAGAAACATAAATTTGATTTCAAATCGAAAAACAAATCAAGCCCTAATTATCAAGCACTTTTCATTCCATAGTCACCCTTCTCAAACAAAAAGATCACCTTTTCCCCCATAAACCGCCAAAAATACACCGAAATAACAAATAAAAATTACATAAGAAAATAAATAGGGTTCATGGAAAAGGACCTCGGGCGATAATAGGGCTCGATTCAACAAAACGCTACGGAGAAGCCTCGCCATGGCTCGCTCTCCAACGAAATCCTCGATGAGGAGATGCGATGAGAGGAAAACTGAAGATTGAAGACGCTCACGAAATATTTGGTAGAGGCAAGAGAGAGGACATTTTCTGTTCTCAAAATCGAGGGGTTTAGGGTTTTAGGGATTTTTCGCCCTTCTTCGTTTTCCCTCCTTTTCTGCGGTATATGTCTCCTCCTCGTAGTTTTTGGGGTCAGAATGCTCAAGTCGGGCGAGGGGCCATTTTGACGAACGCGTGGGGATACAGGTCCAGTTAATGGAGAATTTTAGAAAAAAAGAACGTTTTTAAAATATAATTTGCAAAATCGATCATTTCTCTAAGGGCTTGTTTGGATTGAGGGGAATGAGGGTGAAGGGAAGTTAGAGGAACCATTCACCTCCATTCACCTTGTTTGGGAACACTTAGGAGGTGAAGTTAATTCACCTCCATTCACTTTGGTTCACCCCCTAATAGTATAAAAATTGTTACCCCCCAAATTGGGGTGTAACCAAGGGGAAGGGAATTCCCTTCCCTTCCCTTCCTTTCCCTTCCCTTCCATTCACTCAGTTTCCCTTAACTTCCCTTCACCCCCTACCAATCCAAACAGGCCCTAAGGGCTTGTTTGGATTGAGGGGAATGAGGGTGAAGGGAAGTTAGGGGAATCATTCACCTCCATTCACCTTGTTTGGGAACACTTAGGAGGTGAAGTTAATTCACCTCCATTCACCTTGGTTCACCCCCTAATAGTATAAAAATTGTTACCCCCAAATTGGGGTGTAACCAAGGGGAAGGGAATTCACTTCCCTTCACTTCCCTTCCCTTCACTCAGTTTCCCTTAACTTCCCTTCACCCCCTACGAATCCAAACAGGCCCTAAATAATGAGCAAAATCGATATTTTTTGTCACGTCATCAAGACTAGATAAAAAGCGATCGATTTAAAAAAATCATTTTTAAAATACACGGGACTACTGGTCCCATGAAATTAATAATTGCTAATTACGAAACTAATTAGGCTTAGAATATACACGGGACTATTAGTCATGTGTATTCATTCCTCTTTTTTTAAATCTTAGCCACTATGACCCTCTTCCAGATCTCTTGCCTCCTTTCTCCTTAATCTCCTCCGTTGCAGTGGTCGAGGACGAGGGCGGTGGTCGGAGGGCGAGGGCAATTGTCGAAGGTCGAGGGAGCCTCGAGAGCAAGGGCGTGGTCAAGGGAGCCTCGAGGGCGAAGGCAAGGGTGACCTCGAGGACAGTGGTCAAGGGCTAGGGTCAAGGGCGAGGGTGGTGGTCGAGGGAGGTCTCGAGGGCGGTGGTCGAGGGAGCCTTGAGGGGAGGGCGAGAGTTGGTGGTTCGAGTGTGGTGTTTCGAGGGTGGCCTCGCAGGGCTGTGGCTCCGAGGGAGCCTTCGAGGGGCGACGACGTGACAAAAGGAAGGCGATTGGGTCGATGGGCGCGGGTAAGGGATCCTCAAGGGCGAGGGTCGAGGGGAGACCTAGGGCAGTGGTCGAGGGCGAATTGGATGAGAGAAGAGAAAGATGAAGAGGAAAGTTCGAAATTTTAAATTAACGAGCTTAAATACACAAGACTAGTAGTCCCGTGTTGTATTTTAAAGATGATTTTTTTAAAATTGACTTCTTTTTTACCAGTCTTGATGTCGTGGTAAAAAAAAAGTGGATTTTGCTCATTATTTAGAAAAATGATCGATTTTGCTAATTATATTTTAAAAACAGTCTTTTTTTAAAAATTCTCCTCTAGCTAATTTGTGGATCCAAATCAAAAGGGTGTAATTGTCATGAAGGTTTTGTTTTTTTTTCAAAATAAGATTGATTAATTAGCACATCAATGCGTTATAGTTTCCCCTACTTCACACTTATGCATCCTCACTTGTTTTTATAGCATTTATCTAGCCTGAAATTTTTAAAATTTGCACTTTAATATCTTACAAGATAACTCGAGGATCTCCGTTGACTATAAGACGAGGTGGAAGATATTGATATCGTCTCTTTGTGAAGCTTACGTCTTGGCGGAAAAGAAGATCTTAGTTGATGAAGATAGAAAGTTATTCTTTTATCTGCGCGGGTTTGTTTGCAAACTCTCTAGTGAGAAGAAATTACTCTAACTAAGAGAAAAGTCGCTCTTAGATGTTTTGTATAACCCTTTGAAAGGATAAAACTCCTTATGGAGTGGTGGCTCTTGTTAGGACTCATGTGATGAGCCTAATTCTCTAATCTTGTTTTGATGATTTAACAAACAATTTATAACGTGTTTTCTAGTGTTTGGTTTTGATTGATTAACCCAGGTTGAATGATTCAAGAGCCATATTATTAATGGAGCATATACAAGTCAAGTCAAGATCCTCGATCGAGCTTCATATGCAGTCTATATGGTATATTAGTGTAGGGTGTGTATTTTGTGTATCAATACTTTTAAGCTCAATTATATACACATACACATTTCTTACTTTCATCACAATTTAGGAATTTTTAAGTAATCTTAGTATTATTGACTTATGGACAAAATAATCTTTGTATACATCTTTTATTTAGTCCATAAATCAATTCAAAATATTTTTACAACTTTGTTTAAAACATATGTCAAAATCAAGTGTTCATATAAACACGTATTTTTGAGTTTTAGCAAAACAATAAGTTTTCACAAATGGAAAATACAATTTGAAAATTTTCTTTTGTAACATGTTCATTTTCATGTTTATAAACATTTCCCCAAGTTTTATAATTTTTGGAATTTATTTGATATTTTTAAAGTCGATTCAAATTCAGTTTTTTCAAACACTTTTGTCAAATATCAATTCCCGGTCGACCGCACAAGGCATGCCGGTCGACCGACCAGAACAAAATTTTTTGATTTTGTTTCTCAGGGCATTCTGGTCGACCAAATATGACCTTCCGGTCGACCGATCAGAACTCAAATTTTTAGCTGATTTCTTAGAGTGTTTCAGTCGATCGACAACTTGTGTCCGGTCGACCGATGCACATCCTTCGGTCGACCGGCCATTGTTATCTGGTCGACCAAACTAGTATCCGTTGGCATAACAGCTAGTTTTCTAGATTTTGTGTTTTTTATTGTTTTTGTTGTTTTGTGATGGTTTCTTGGGCTAGTTTCTTCTACCCTATATATACCTTATTACATTTAACACTACTATCAACCAAGAAAGTTTTAATTAAGTTTTACAAGGGCTTAATATTTGTTTAAGTGTTGTTTTAAAAAATTTTGTAAAGAAACTTTCACAAGAGAAAGAGGAGAACGATTCTATCGGTTTGAGCTTTATTTTCATCCATCTCTCTTTCTTAAATTTTAGAGAAGATTATTCTAAACTCAATCTCTAGCCTTATACAATTATTTGCTATTTATTTATTTTATTAAGCTAGAATTTACATTGAGTTTAGTTTTGATTATTACTCTTTGTTCACACACATCCCTATTGAGCTTTTAGGATTTTCATACACTATATTATTGGGTTGTAGTGAGTGATACATTGAGTATGAGCTTCATTGAGTTCTCATCTTGTTAGAGAATAAAATCTTTGTCTTTGAGAATATTTATGAGGATCACTTTGTAATACGCAAGTACACTGATAGGAGTGTGCGGTGAGAGATGTGGTCGATTCCAAGAGGAGTGGCATCGGTAATAAAGCCTAGTGAGAGGTTGTAAATCCGAGCACTTGAGGAAGGCGACACGGGCTAGGCCAACACTTAGAGAGTGTGTTGTGTGATTACATTGTGAGTATTGTAAACATTTATCGGTGAGCGTTGAAAACCGATTGTAGTATCTTTGAGATAGTGGATTCTTCCCGGGAGTGGGGAGTGGAGATATATGTCGGAAGGACCAAACTCCGTGACCATATTGTTTGTTTGATTGTCTCATTGCGCACTATCTCATTTGTTTAGTAGTTCATCGCCCTTGTTTAATTTTATATACTTTCTCATATCTTCTTGAATATCATACTTGCAAGAATAATATTTTGATAAAATTTATATTGACATTAAAATCGGATTAGATTAGCACATTACCCTATTCACCCTCCTCTAGAGTAATTTTAGCTCTATGGTGATTAGAAAACCTAGTGAACAAACCCCGACAGAGAGGTCCTAGGTTCATGAGAAAATCCAATGAGGGGAGTTTTGTAACTTAAATGACCAATGAGAGAAGAAAGTATTCGCCCATTAAAGGCACCACATCATCCCTAACTCACACTAGTAGATTATTGTCATTTGGACACTAAATTTCCATGTCATCCATTACCCTCTCACCCCTTGCTATCTTTTCTTTCTTCCTCTTGTCTCAACCCATAGCTAATAAACCTACGATAAGACTTTGCGTCTTTCAAAATAACCCAATGGCTGATGGTCTGGCGGACAACAACTAAGACTCGGAAAACAACTAGCAATGAACCCAGGAACCCAAGAATTAATTAAAAAGGCCCAAAAGTTACAGGGTTAAATTCTAAATCAAAGATTTATGAAGAATCTAAAAGAATGAGAGTATGTAGCATTAGTCATTCATGGTCTCGTTAGTGAGTCTTAGTCGAGGGTGGAGACTCTCAATCGACTGGACTCTGTAGATTAAAGAGAAGAAGGAGATGAAGAGATCTATGAGATGATATGGAGTATTAGTGCCCAAGTATCATAATTAATTGACCGAGGCAGGGATGATGTGGCACCTTTAAGGCATTGGATGCTTTCTCTAAGGAGAGCACATGTTAGCCCAAAGAATCCTCTAAAGCAAGTGTAGCTTCGCTAGATAATAGGAGGGCTCAATCCTAAGATGAAGAGATCTGGATAAATATTTGAAGCCCTTTGATTGTGGGCTAAGAGTTTCTACTTATAGAGGAACCATTGTTTACATGGTTTAGAGGTTTATGATGCGAATAAGCTGCAAACATTGCAAGTACACAACAATCAATTATAGTATGTAAAACTATCGTTCCATGAAAAGGGAGTTTATTGGAAAGAAATTTCTATTTGGTTCCTTAAATTGTGTAGGAAAAAGAATGAGAGTGTGCAGTGTATTTTGGGTTGAGGGTTGTCACAAAAAAATGTTAAAATAAGAGGGAAGAATGAGAAAAAGAGAAGAACAAAATAAAAGAAACTAAAAAAGGAAATCAAATCAAAATAGGAAGCAAATAAAAAGATGGAGGGAATCAAGTGAAAGATTAGAAATCTAGGATTGAATCCATTAGTTAATTCAACTTGAATTTAAGATTTGCTCTCTTTTTAT